ACATATAAAAATAAAGTAGGAAATAATTTGATAGTTAATTAAAGGAGAAATAATGGCAGTTAAGATGGGACAAGATACAACGAGGACTGAGCATGATCGATAGGTTACGATTGGCTGGCGAACGTAACAATTTGCTAATATCACATGCGATATCACAGGTGATACGGATATTATGTGTGCGATTTTCATAAATCTGTCTATTATATAAAAATCACGGCGTAGGGAGGTGGCGGTCCCATCGCCCGGTCATTGTACCGCAACCAGCCACTGGCCCTCCAGGTTGGGGGAACACTTACACGAACACTCACACACCAAGTACACTTTAGACAGCACACTACAACACCTAAACACTACAGACAAAGGTCACCTACAGTACACACCCTAGGGTCACCTTCCCTAGGTAGCCGCCCCGGATGGGGGAGCTAGTCAGGATGCTCGGAGGAGGCAGCCCCTCTACCTGACTCGGGGGCAGTGGGCTGATAACCCACCCCCCCTAAAGTACCTTATTACGAAACCTCAAAGAGAAGAAGCCGGACTGAATTACGGTAACAGACCCAGGAAACGCCTAAATGACCTAAGAATTGGATTTTGGAACATTTTATCATTACATAGACTAGGAGCACTTCGTGCGCTCCTTGCAGAAGTGGACACATACAGAATCGACATAGCAGCTATCCAAGAGGTCCGATGGATAGGACAGGGAATTATGGAGAAGAAGTACCATACACTCTACTATAGCTGCCATGAAAAGCATCACATCTTCGGTACCGGATTTGTTGTGAGAGGCAGAGCTCGACAGTTGGTGATGCGATTTACTCCCATTAACCAAAGGTTATGCTACATTCGGCTTAGAGGAAAATTTTTTAATTTCTCTCTAATCAACTGCCATGCCCCAACAGAGGTGTCACCTGAGGAGGATAAGGAAGCATTTTATGAAGAACTTGGACGCGTGACAGAAAGCTGCCCCAAAAATGATGTTAAAATCATTCTTGGTGACTTTAACGCACAAGTTGGTAAGGAGGTGGCACTCATGCCGACCATAGGAACCCACAGCTTGCATGAGACCAGTAATGATAATGGGCTACGGATGGTGAACTTTGCTACATTGCACGGACTGGTTGTTGGAACAACTCTTTTTCCTCGAAAGAATATCCACAAAGCAACATGGATCTCTCCAAATGGGCAAACAGCATCACAGATAGACCATGTACTCATTAGTGCCCGTCACAAGTCCAACATGATAAATGCAAGATCTTATAGAGGTGCAAATATGGACACGGATCACTATTTGAGCATTGCCGAGGTCAGATCACGAATTTCGCTGATTAAAAACCACTACCAACGACCAAAGAAGAAGATTGATGTGGTTAAACTTAAGGATTCAGACCACCAATATTCGTATCAACAAGCTGTGGAGACGAAACTCAATGAAGAAGTAATTAACGACAGCTCTATGGTCGATGAACAGTGGAAGAGATGCAGCAACGCAATGAAACAGGCAGCAGAAGAAGCTCTTGGCTACGAGACTAAATCTAGAAGGCCCCCATGGTTTGATGCTGAGTGCCTTCAAGCAGTAAAAGTGAAAAATGAAGCCTACAGAAAGAAGGTTCAGCGTCCCACAAGGCTCTCCCAAGAAACATATAGAAGAAAAAGACGCGAAGAGAAGAGATTATTCCGCGGAAAGAGAAGAGCTTGGGAAAATAAGAACATGGAGGACACAGAGGCATTGCGAGGCCAAAATGAAAGTCGCCTGTTCTTTCAGAGAATAAACGAGGGTAGGGCAGCTTTTAGGCCCAGAGTGACGGCATGCAAAGACACAAATGGAACTCTTTTAAGCCACAAAGATGACGTACTAAGGAGATGGGTACAACATTTCAAAGGCGCATTAAACAGAGGAACGGTGCCTGGAGAAGTAGGTGTAATGAAGGAAGACTCCCTGAATTCTATTGAACCCCCGGATGAGGAGGAAATGGAAAATGCCCTGAGGAAATTGAAAAATGGAAAGGCGCCAGGCCCGGACGGAATCCAGTCAGAGCTGTTGAAATGTGGAGGTGAAGAACTCAAGAAAGCTCTGCATGATTTAATGCTGACCATCTGGGAGAAGGAAGCTATGCCTACGGAATGGGCAACAGCCATTATCTGCCCAATACATAAGAAAGGAGATCAAACAGAATGCGCTAACTATCGAGGAATCTCACTCCTTTCGTGTGCTTATAAGCTGCTCTCTAACATTCTTTTTGAGAGGATCCTCCCGTATTCTGAAAAGGAACTGGGGAAATATCAGGCTGGATTTCGAAGAGGACGCTCAACGACTGATCAACTGTTCTCTCTGAGGATGATCCTAGAAAAGACTATGGAGCGTAAGGTAGTCACCCACCATTTATTCCTGGACTTTAAAGCAGCATACGACAGCGTTGATAGAACGCAACTATACTGTGCCTTGGAGGAGCTAAGCATCCCTCAGAAGCTCGTACGCCTAATCAAGATGACCATGGACAGCTCGAGATGCAGAATACGCGTCGGTTCTGACGACTCCGAAGAGTTTAAAGTGAGCAGTGGGGTTAGGCAAGGGGATGCCCTCGCCTGTCTATTGTTCAATTTGGCAGAGGAGAAAGCTGTAAGAGACTCCGGTATTCAGACCAAAGATATAATCTTCAATCGCCTGACACAGCTTCTTGGTTTTGCTGATGATATTGACATAGTAGGTAGGTCTGAACGGGCTCTCAGAGAAGCGTTTATAAGCCTTGAAGCAGCTGCAAGACCACTTGGTCTAGAAGTCAACGAGAGGAAAACTAAGTATATGAGAGTTGGCGGTGAGGTTGATCTGAACTCTCCATTTGAGGTAGGTTCTTTTAAGTTTGAGAGAGTGAAAAGTTTTATATACCTTGGGTCTGAAATCAATAGCAAGAATGACATGGCTCAAGAAATACAAAGAAGGATCACGGCTGCCAATAGATGTGTCTTTGGACTTGGCCGACACTTAAGAAGTAGGTACCTCTCAAAGAAGACCAAGCTGATCATATACAAGACCCTTGTTCGGCCTGTTTTGACATATGGCTCAGAGGCTTGGACGATGACCAAAAGGGATGAGATGAAGCTGAGTGTCTTTGAGCGAGGAGTCCTCAGAAGGATTTATGGTCCAGTAAAGGAGGGTGATGTCTGGAGGAAAAGAAAAAATAGGGAGCTCAGTTCTCTCTATGCAGACATCGACGTAGTCACGTATATTAAACTGGCCAGACTAAGGTGGGCAGGGCATGTGGCCAGAATGAGCACCCTTGAAATACCAAAAAAAATAATGATGGAGGAGCTGCACCTCGTAAGACGGGTAGGAAGGCCGAGGACGAGATGGTTGGACAACGTGGCCTATGATGCGAGAACCCTGGTTGGTGTGCGGAACTGGAGAGCTGCAGCAGAAGACAGAGCCAACTGGCGGAGGCTCTTGGAGGAGGCCCAGTCTCGGTGACGGGATGTTGTGCCATACATGAATGAATGAATGAATTATATAAAAAAGTTTTTAGTGACTGTCATATTTAATTTTATTTTAGTATTAGGAGATTAGGAGGATTACAGGAGCTCATCTTTTCAGCTTATTCCTCTGGGCTCGACCGTGCTGCTCTCCTATGGCGATTATTTTACAAATTATACAACTGTTCATTTAATTACATATGCGTTGAGCTCCTGTAACCTCATATTCTCCTAATACAAAAAAAAATTTAGACCGAAAATATGTACGGAAAATGGTGGTATTCATCTGGAGTGGTAGTTTAATTTTACCTAGGTGACAGCAGATATTGTTCGGTCTAGATATTTTACCTTTTAAAAACTGACCCAGATGTCTAAAAAAAGGCAGTCGGGTCTAAAAAAAAATGGGGAGAGGCCTGGAAAAGAAGTTGTAAAAATTGCAGAGAAGAACAGTAAAGAAGTTCAGCTGAAACTTCATAGCGAAATTTTTAGCGGTCGTTTAATGCATGAGGAATCCAAGTTTCAAGATTTTTTACCTTTCCATTTGCGTTGAGGTGGTCAGCGAAGGTGGATTTGCTAACCGAGAGTTTCTATGAAAGTTCTCGAACAGTTCTGCGATTTTATTCGTCCAAAGCTCGCAGAACATCAACTCCTTCTACGACCATCTTTTTCTTTAAGGCTAATGTCTCTATCTCCAAAAATTGTTTAAACCATCGTTGAACGGTGCACTTACATACACAGACATGGTCCCAGGTACATTAATATTTCTGAGCGACTGACCGAGTTTAAACTCGTAAAACGAAATTACGCGAAAATAATGCTTTGGCGTCTTAATAAAGACTGAATCATTTCCAAATAGTGAAATACTGAAGAAGAAAAGAAAAAAGTATCGTTTTAGATGAGATTTAACAAAGTATCGACACCCAAACCAAGGAATAATTACTCAGACGTAAGCAGTTTGTTATACAGAGGGTTAAAATAAAGACAACATTAAACCCTACATTATTTCCCGGAGAACCCAATAATACCCAAGCTTAAACTAATAAAAATACCAAAAATGAAATATCAGTAAATATATTCGCTTCCTTTAATCACTGGCACTAATATCGGACTAAAATCCGTGGCACTTAATTAATTACTATCATTGAATAAATAATTAAAGTGTACAGTTGTAGAAAGAACTGGAAAGTGAAGGGTTGGAAAACACATGGTAATGATTGTTTTAAATGAATATGTTGCAACACATATACATTTTACTTTCACTTCACTTTATATGAAATACCTATTTATATTCAAGGTATGATGGTAAATAAAAGTTATGTAATACACTCGAAATCATTCGTTAATTTGTCATTCCGAATATTTTGTAGATTTTTGGGGATGTATGTAAAACAGCCTAATCCTCTGTAGGTTTGTTACTAGAATTATTTTATAAATATGCTCAAATGGTCCTAAATGAGCCACTATTTATTGATAGATAAAGTTTAATGAAAAACTAGAAATCCTAATATATCTTACTAAATGATTAAATATTTCAGATGCTGCCGAGGCACGAGACATGGCTTTCTCTGCAATGGTTCTCGCTGACTTCCTTACGAGGCAGGCAGATCATAATATGGTTAGCACTGGGCGATCTCTTCGCTTCTCTAGGTAACTACCATGTTCCTGAATTAATTATTTGATATTTTTAATTTTCTGTAACAACATATATAATATAATAATATAAAACTATCGAAAATCATATTTTTTTTTTCTTTTAAGTCATTTCAGACAAATAAAAATTTAAAGTTTTGTTTCCTAAAAACTAAGAGATTCCATTATGAGAGGGGTTGGACGATTGAAATCAGATCTCTTGGTCAACAGATTTGCTGGCGCTACTGATTTTAGATAATCCAAGCCTAGATACAAAGAAGTTCAAACACTGTAATCGACAAGACACTACATGCTTACCTTGGCATTTTAAAATTAAATTATTTTTTTTTTAAACTATCTCTTTGATTATTTAATTTATGAATACGATCAAGGACGAACCCGGATCGAGTAAAAAGTGGAAAAAAAAAATCTTTAAACCAGTAATTCTTCATGCTAATTAAAACATGTGCCATAAAGAGGAAGCAAAGCGTGTCGGCAATATCTTTGCAACGTAATATTATTCAACCACGTTTTAATAGGAATGTTTTTTTCCTTTATCACATTATTATTAACAATAAGTATTATTTATAATATATATTCTTTTTCTTAATTTATAACATATCTACATATACCTACCCAATTAAATTATACGAACATTGTTTAAAATTTGTAAAATATAATATTTTAATTATTTACGGCGAAGGTAACATTATTGGATATGAACTGGTGACCTGACATAATTGAAATCCATGTACATGTAGAAATCGATGCGGGTCGGAGACTACTGCCAATGTATTTCGTTGTTATATTAGTACATGTCACGTACATTATATTACTTGGGCGCCATCATGGACGAATGTATTTCCAACCTCTTCGGCCACTGGTGTGAATAGGATATTTAAGAATGTTTCCGGTTTCCTTCTAAGTGTCTCGGCATCCGAGCGGCGACTTTGGGCTGAAAAGTACCACTCAAAATGAAACAATATTTTATTTTTATCAGTTCATATTTGTTTATGTATTCCATTATTAAAGTACAATAAATATTCAGCAACTAAATTTAAGCAAGTGTCAATAAAAAATATAAAACATTTATCTCTAAAAGCATTATTGTTCCTATAAGTAACTTTTTTTTGCCTTCAAGGACCACTTAAACAAAATTTAGTATAGGCATTTTATTTTCTTCCTGAATAATTACCGTCATTTTTTTATATAAAAAAAGCCCCTACAGATAAACTACTTAGCTCGCGCCTCTTGTCGCGGAACTTAAAAACTAAAATCTATAAAACTATTATTTTACTAACAGTTTTTTATGGATGAAGAAACGTGGCCGCTTGAGCAACTTCTTACAACAAAGTATTGTGTAGACTATTTGGACCGAAGAAGGATGAGTTAACCGGAGAATTCAGACGGTTACACAACGCCGAATTGCGTGAACTGTATCCAGTTAATATAATTGAGGTGATTAAATCGCGTCGAATCAAATGGACTTTGTTGGATTTGGAGGGAGGTGTGTAATAAGCTATTGATGTCGGCATCGAGTATTCGGGTTCGCTAAGCATTTTAATATTTATTATTATTATGAAGTTAAATTCTGGATCTGCTACTGATCGGAATTTCCATTACTCAATATTTATGCCATATAAATAGCCCGAAGTGCTTCTCATTTTTATCTAAATAATTATTTTTTTTATGAAATGGTGCATGACTGATTCTTGAAAATGGCTCAAGAAGCCGAAACGTTGGCAAATAAAGAAATACAATAAAAAACCTACTTTATTGGTGACCTTTGACCTAAAATCTATTAAATAAAAACATAATAAAACGGCACCGAACCTAACAAATATGACAAGGAAATCTAAATAATTGATTGTAATTTTTTTTTCAGGTTTATACTAAAATTATCAATGATTAATAACTTGATAACTTTTGGTTGTTGTTTGGATTCATTTTTATTCGATGCAACAGAGAGTAACTCCTATCCTATAGAATAGGAAATAGTCATGAAATTAAAAAATCGATGAATTGCAATCATCTTCTTAATGGACCAATAAGCAAAAGGCAGTGACCACAGGCGGATCTACAGGGGGGCTTTCGGGCTGAAGTTCCCCCAAAACAATAAATAAAACCATGTTTTATAGAAAAAAATATTAAAAACCATCTCTTAAAGGATTATTGTTAGTGTAATTACATTTAATAGGACTTCAAGAATCACTTAAACAACATTTCATATAGGTAATTAATTTCTTTATTTTTTTAAAAAATTAATAATCGTTATATACATGAAAAAAAATCTTTCGGGCTGAAGCCCCAAATTCTTTCCAGGAATCCATTGCTAAATAATGTCGATCAAACAACTTGTCTTAGGTTTGGATACCCTTCACTGGCCCTTTCACTTTTCATACTTTACAAACATTTCACAAGTTGTTCGGCAAACGACTTAGCACTGATCGTGTTTTATATGTTCTCCCTGCAATAACTTACAGTATCTTGTTGTTGGAATATGATTTATTAAATATATAATAAAAACAACTATTTTTGGATCAGTAAAATGACAGAGAATGCAACAGATTTCATTTGGGCTCCGTCTCATTGTGAAATACAACGTAATGAAAAGCCAGAGGCCCATCCCGAACTAACGACATTAATGAAGTAAAATTCATTAATTATGTTCATCGAGAAGACTAAGTGAGCAAAATCCCAGATAATAGGTCATTTAAATGAAACCTGAAAAAGAAATCCCTAAACTCCAAACTAGTTCAGATAAAAGAAAATAGTGCACTAGTAACAGGAAATCAAGAAAATAGGAAATAATCCTGTGCCGCCTTTGCATTGGTCCACTGCGAATTCGCACAAGGCTACCTTCTCCACGAACGAGAACCACCTACCTGCATCAGATCTGGTTTTCCTTGAACCGTGAACCACATACTCGTGGACTGCAGACACTATGCAGCAATAATGAAGAACCTCACTAGCGGATCCAGGATTTAATTTTGGGGGGGGGCTTCAGCCCGAAAGATGTTTTTTTCATAAAAATAACGATAATTACTTTGGAAAAAAAGAAAGAAACTAACTACCTGTATGAAATGGTGTTTAAGTGATTCCTAAAGCCCTTTTAAATGTAATTACACAAACAATAATACTTTAAGAGATTCTTTTTTAATATTTTTTTCGATAAAACATGTCTATATTTTACCATTTTGGGGGGGGGGGCTTCAGCCCGAAAGCCCCTCCCCCCCCGTAGATCCGCCCGTGAAGAACCTTAACATACACAAAACTGTCCAGGAAATGTTATAGGATACGGAGAGCCATGTGGAAGTCCTGGTGAGTTTCTTGAAAAAAAAAAACAACGGGATTCTACATTAGAATATAGAAAATTTGAGTGAAGAAAGAATTGCCAATGGCCCTATCGGTTAGAGGTAAATTCAGTAAATAAATAAACTATTTTTTATTTTTATTTTGGGTGGAAATCGACAGTTAACACTAACAACAACTACCACAAAGTAAAAAATAATTTTTTTTGGGATTAATAAGCTTGGAGTAATTTTGAGGTTTAGGTGGATCACAACTGCCGACTTCCGCACTCTCAACAGATAAAAAAATAATTATGCACATTGCTAAGGCATATTTTAAACTAAACTTCTCTTCATGTTACAAGTATTAAATTACTTTTTTTGACGTAAAATTACTATCCATTCCTATACCTTACATTTTACAATAAAATATTTAAATAAACCGAGAAACATGAGAGAAAGTAATTGTAATAGAAATGACAGATTGATAGTTAATGATGGGAAAGGGATACAATAGAAATATGATTGACTGATGGCGGGAAGGATTATCAGATATGGGTGACAGAATGGAGGAAAGGGGCTGGTTATCTGGCAATAAATCGAGATTATCTCCAACAGCAGTCTGGAGTCGTAACGATTAGTGAGTTCGAGTTCAGCTCTGATCTGGCTCGAGAGATGAATTTGACAGTTTTGTCTCAATCTATCCATAGGACGATTTGACCCACTAAATAGGCAAACACAAAGTTATATACAACTAGGAATTTGAGGAAAACATCCCAAAGCAGTTTACATTTCCCATTGGTTATTTATATTTTCTGAAAATATTATGTGAAAATCAACTCATTCATAATTACTACTATTGTCTTTAATTGAGGCAGAATGTAAAATTTCACCATAACTCACTATTGGGTTGCACATGTGAAAAATAATTAAAAAACACACAAATTTTCTTATCCAATTTTCATTTGTTTAAATGTTATTAAATAATTAGAAATTTCAAAAACAATATTTTATACATTTATTAGCATTTCGAAGTCGATGGGCGACAGTTGGCCTCCTGGTTGTTTCATGTCTTTTGATGACATCTGCAGCCTTTTTACGTCGAATAAGTGCATCTTGTGTCTATTTTTGCTCTGTATAGTTCATCTTTGAACCATCCTCATAAACAATAATCCATTTTGCTAAAATGTTGCTTCACTTGACTAGCGAAATAAGTGGGAGTTCCGTCATGGTGAAAGTACATTTGCATTTTGATGTTTAGAGGGACATCCTCAAATAATAGTCACTGTAATTTAAATATTAATAAATCTAGGTAGTTGTCTCCTGAGAGGCGATCATCTAAAATGAGCTGCAGGAGAGCTCTCTTCCTTCGAAGATAAAAATTTGAGGCCAAAAATGTTCAGAGTATAGCACAGGCGGATTTAAGGGGAGGAGGGCTTTCGGGCTGAAGCCCCGCCCCTCAAAAAGGTAAAATATAACCACATTTTATAGAAAAACATATTAAAAACTATCTCTTAAAGTATTATTGTTCGTGTAATTACATTTAATAGGACTTCAAGAATCACTTAAACACCATTTCATATAGGTAGTTCATTTCTTTCTTCTTTTTTTAAAAAATTAATTATCGTTATATACATGAAAAAAAATCTTTCGGGCTGAAGCCCCCCCAAAATTAAATCCTGAATCCGCTAGTGGAGTATAGATGGTAGGTGGTATTTTCAAACATTTATTAAAATAAGACTTCGATATGCTTATACTTATATAAGAAATATTGTTCATTTAAGTAATTTTGTTTATATGTAACTATCCAATAAAATTTAAACAAATGAAAACCCCACTCCCGTTTTCCATTCCCTCCACGTTTGTCTCAATCGTTCTGACTCATCCTGTATATGTGTGTGTATATTTCCCTGATTAATTAGTTATCGACTTTTTTCAAAACACCAGCCAAATAATTAAACTAAATGTACTATAAAAACTAATTAAAAATTTAAAGAATATGTAAGTAGTGGGACATTCCGCACAAATTGCTGTTGTGTAAGGTTGTTATATAAGGCCATCTCGTCCATATAGAGAATCTAAATGGCCGCTTTGTGTTGAAAAATTCAAGCGTGCAAAAATCTTTAAGACGACCATGATGAGCGATTCTTTTTTTATTTTGGAGGAAACTAATGTTAGTGTTATCAAATGTATCACATCTTTTAAATAACAAGTAGTTGATAAATTTAGACAATAAGTGAACCAATAGTAATTATATTTATGGTTCTAATGAATCCATTATATTTTGATGTTTCAGGTGTATTTTTACGATGTTCATCGAAACTAATCGACTATTTCGCCTATGGTGAAACTGGAAATGGAGATTCGGAAAATGCTGATTATAACATTGTTTACTGCACCATTTTAGTGGTAAGTTGATTTTGTTTAATATACTAGGAAATATCAAATTAGGCGTTATTTACGCCTGCGTATTTAAAGGGTTTCGATTACTTTCACCGATTGTTTTTTTAAGTCGCATTCTCCTCACTACCACATTAACTATTAAGTTTATGAGACAAGACTAATACGCCTAGTCATTTTCAGCTAGTGATCGATACTCCGAACTATACCTATTAACGGATTCCTGTGGTCCCAAACCGTCGATAGTTATGACAAACAAAAAAAAAAAAGATTTGATTATTTTTAAAACATTTCCACGCACTTAAAGGCTATTAAACCAAACCCAAGTTCTTAGCCTTCCTCTGCCTATCTTCGGGTTGTGATTTCAAGTATGCTCCATACATATTTGTTGACTCTATCTTTTTATATGTTTTTTGATCTTCCTCGTGGTCTTTTGCCAATTATTGAGAAATCCATAGATGAATTACTTCAAGCTAAATACTTCTCCCCATCTTAACATTCTCGCCATATTCTCATATGAGATATGAACTCACCGGTTTTTGTAAGCAGTTGTTTGTCAGGCTTTCCTCTTAAATCTTTCAATTCTCTTTCCTTGCTAGGTTGCTGGTTAATATCCTGATAGTCTTATAACAGCACTCCTGATGTGAGATTTCTAGGGATTTTCGGGATTTCATTACTCTTGGAAAAGAGAGGAAAACTGTATTTGCCCGTCTCAGATTGTTGGTCATTTATTAAGGTTGTGGAAAAGCCCCGTGATATTTGAGTTAGCCATAGCCTATTCTCGAGGAGAGGGCAATTTTGCAAGGGCAATCAACTCCCTGTTGATGCGTTGGATTTATCATCATATATTTTGTTTTATATTCATTTTCTTGTTGGCTGATTTTATCTACTTTTTATCATCGACGAGAGTCCATCTTTCTCCTTCAAACCTCTTCGATATTCGAAGGCTTTACATACTTTTTCTTCGGTCAAGAGTCGGAATTTAGAATCATCTGAACAGGATTTTGCCGATCTTACAAATTCTTCGACACTGCCAGCTCGTTTTTTTTATTTTATTTTTTTTATCCTCTTCCTCACCTTTTGGCTATACGTGGTTTTTCAACGCAAAAGGAGAGGTTAGGGATTAGCCACCGAGATTTTAATTCGTAATCTTCAGTTTATGAGACAACGCGTATTTTGCACATGCCATAACTCGCTCAGCTATCAGGCACCGGCCATCTTAGTCTTTATCCCTCAAAGACACCTTGTGTCCAAAGAAACACAGGCGGGTTGTGAAACTTCAAATAAAGCTTGCACATCCTAATGACCTGCTTCCCATCGTTTTTCGAGCAGCTGTTTTAGGACGAAGGTCTAGTCCAGCGTACTCCTTTCCCTTCTGAATCCTGCATGTTGGTCGCCTATTATATTTTCATGTTACGAATATATCCGGTTTAGTAGATAATGGTCATTATTTTATATGCAACCTGGAGGAGTGCTACGCCTCTGTAATTACCACACTCATACATGGATAGTTCCTGTAATGCAGGGCATGTATCAAGATGTTCTCCTGTCATCATGTCTAAGGAAGATAGAGGGCATGTCGGGCTATCTTTTACACCGGTGCGGTGGAGGTGCTACAAACTTTGAAGGGGAAGTGAAAGCCATTCTCTTAGGCCTTGAGATGTTAACTGAACGAAAAGACAAGAAAGTTGCTTTCTTTGTTGACTCACAGGCAGCCATTTTGTCTCTAAAAAATGGATATAGTATAAATCCAAATGTTCCTAAATGCCATCAATATTTGAACCGACTAAACGAAAATGGGACAGAAGTCGCTTTCCAGTGGATACCAGGCCATTGCGGGCTCCACGGAAATGATGAAGCTGACAAACTGGCCAGAATAGGTTCTGGAATGATCCAACCCGATATTCCTCTGGCCATGGATTCAACAAAAAGAATCATAAAACAGACCTTCCAAAGTGGCAGGATTCCTAGAGACCTCCTTAAAGGGCAAGCCGTAGCATGCTTTAGAATGCTCACAGGCCATGATTTCCTTCAGAAGCACCTCCACCGCATCGGTGTAAAAGATAGCCCGACATGCCCTCTATGTTCCTTAGTCATGATGACAGGAGAACATCTTGATACATGCTCTGCATTACAGGACATAAGATGTTCCTTTAATGAAATGGACAGCCCTTATGCACGGAGAGCAAATCTGTATTGGACTGCTAGAGCATGCATGGCTAATGAAGCAGGCGTAACTTAGGCGTAGGAAAAAAAAAAAAAAAGGATAGGACTGATTAGGCCCGTATTCCAAGCCTCAGGTATCCTTTCCTCTTCCCATATTTTCTGGATTAGTTGTAGCAGCTTGGCTATTAAGTCCCCTTTCCCATCTTTAAACAGTTCTGATGTCAGGTTGTCTATTCCTGGAACCTTTTAGTGTCTAAAAGTTTTTCATCCTCTTCTGGGCCAAGATCCTCTGTGTGGTCCATGTCTTCTTCTCCCCTTGATCCAGAAGTTCCTGGAGGAGAGCAATGGCTCTGTAATTACCATACATATGCATAGACTCTTATTTAACATAGGACAGATTATAAATTTAAATATAAGGCTTATATGGTTATTGTACTGATACTTGCAGATGTGGACCCAGTACTTCTACGCAGTGACTTGGTGCTGGACCCTGTGCTACGCGGCCGATACCTGGCTGGCGGTCCAGAAGAGAGCTGGGTACCCCTGGCTATACCAGTGCGTGGCCTGGCTGCTTCCTGCGGTCCTCCAAGTTTCTATCTACCTCTCCACAGGCGGCGGGTCAGTAGATCTACGATATCTTCTTAATTTCACTTACTATCTCCATTTTTAGGCAGGTAATGAGCAATCTTTGGCAGTTTCATAAATGTGATCTTATGTTTATCTTTTCTTCTGTCTCAATATCAACAACTGTATTCCATTTGATGGTGCTGGCCGAGGTTAGAACCTGGGAAAAATCCAGGACCAAAGCTATAAGTAATAACAGGTTTTTAAAATTACCATCGGTGCCTATGGAAACCAAACATATGGAGGTTCCAAACGTTTCACATGAATGATGTTTTATAACTAATATCAGTTATTCAATAAAAACTCGTACTATATGTCTATTGAGGACAGGTTGTTTGGAAATAGGATAAATCCTACAGATCATTCACTCTCATCACAATAGAAACTTTGACAACTATAACTCACCATCCTGTCAAGCTGAAATTATTTGGAATGATCCATATTCCAGAGCCCTTGTCCAAATACTAATACTTGTGAAATGCATATCATAACAGGTTTCTGAAGCAAGGTACACTGAAATAGAATATAGCGAAAACCTGCAACTGCAAGACCCTGCAAATGTCGATGTCCAATAAAAGAAATGCCTTGCCAGTTATGAAATGAATAATGGCCTCAAGAAGTACACATTCAATGACTGAATGTTCTCTGTATGTTCACCTGGAATGAGTATATGTTCACCTGGAATATATTCACCTGATACACAAAGCTATGAAATGCTGTCGTCATTGTTAGCTAATAAGTCAAGAAAAAAACATTTTGTCGGTCCGTAGGCTTACAGGGACAAATGACTTCTGCTTCAAGGGGATTGTGAATACACCTTACTTTAAGAGTGATTCAATTGTTTTTGTTAAGTATGTCACCTCTAAGGAATATCACAGAGTAATATTTGCGAATATTACCCCGAATCACACATTAACCTATGATTGTATTGTTAGCTAATTGCCTTTGATCCAGTTACTATTGCCTGTATATTATGAGAAATCTTAAAAAGATATTTTGTCACACTGACAGGACCCTTTAACCCAGGTAGTTTGGGAAGAGAGAATAGAACATTATTTAAGATATGTTTTTATATTTATTTGATGCTGATAGGTGTGAGCGGGAGGAGACCAGCCAGCTTACTAACTACAGCCTGGTAGCAGTGGTGATGGTATCTTCCCCTATCCTGTTCTGCCTGGCAGTGCGGCACCTCCACGTCCTGGCGATGTCCTGTCTTGGCCAACTGACCAACAAGGAGAGGTCTGTCATCAGGTCTGTTCGTCTCAGGTTTGGCCTCATCGTGCTTGCCTTCTATGTCTGCTGGCTGCCCAACCTGTTGCATGGCCTCCTTCTAGCAATGTGGCCAAGGAGTCCTGCCTGTTTTCAAATAACCTTATGGTATCTGATGGTGAGTCATACAACAATAGCATTGTTTTCATTAAATAATCTGTTTGCAAAGGTGGATAGACTGGGTTGAAGTGATCTTTATTCCAGGACAGATTTTCTCTTAAGAATCAGAAGAGATGTCTTTCTAGGTAATAATTTATGTACCAATGAGTTCTAATCTTTATTTTATATTCATCCTGTTAATTTAAAAATAACAAAAACAAATGAATAAACAAATAGATGTAGATTTTTTTATTGTTATAAAAAAAAAAAACCAAATATCACCTTGGATATTAGGCAGAGATAAGAGAACATCTATGGAAACACAAATTAATCCTAAGAATAATGCATTAATCACTTTCATGTTTTCCTGAGTTCATCAAACTACTATAATCGACTCCTCAAATGGAGGAGAGGACATCGTTAAGGACACAAGGTACTTTAGGATATCAGAAGAAAAGAATTCAAGGAATCTGAGTAACAGTTTAAGGGCATCGATAGATTTTCCAGTAAATACTATTCCTATAACTAGTAACAAAAAGTTGATTATTGTAAATGATACAATGTATTTTCAAAACACATCAATGAAAAAAAAATTTTATTCTGGAACTACAGATCCATAAGAATAATGGCAATGTTCAGACATTATGTACATTAATCTGACAAGATGACTAAAAAATGATACTTGTCAATTAACTGTTAGTAACTATTGTTATTAGAGAAATAAATGATGCTTACATTGATGTGGCAGATTGAATATGAAACAGGTGGTGGAATCTGAGTTGTTTAAAGGATTAGGTGGACAAGGATTGATATATGAATAGATTTACTATACAATTTTTCATTTTTAGTTCATTTATACAATTTTTATGAAATAACCAAGAAAGGAATAAAGTTATTCTGTTGTTAGAACCACTGTTTCAATATTTTTGACACTGTAACGTTACTCAGGGAGACCAACAAGGTAAAGAAAAGTTGAACTTGAAGATTAACTAAAAATTATACTACAATAATAGTTACTATTATAATTCACTTGGTTATAATATAAGGAGCGGGGTGGCCAAGCGGTCAAACAAGTGTACACAACATGTGCTAACTGGCAATCTGATAGACAGGAAATACCAACGATAAAATAATTCACATAAATAAATAGTTCGCATCCTGGTGTCGAGGGAGCTTTTAACTCTGGCATCAATCCCCGCCCTCTCCCCTGGCCTGGAAAACTCCCAGTATAGCCTAAAAGGTGATAAAGGGGAAGAAAGCAAGATTGTCTGTTATAATTCAGATACATATGGTACAATGACCTCAGTTCAAATTCTAAATAAATTTTCTTTAGAAAGGAAAGAAGGTAGACTTTCTCAGTACTTGTTTTAAAGATACTTCTTGGATCCATTAAGATCTAATATGAGTTTTTGACAATTAGGAGGCAAACCAGTCAGTTGGAACATTTATCATATATTTATAAGAATATCAAAGATGCAAAATTATGTACCTAAAGTACTTATACTCTAACCAGTAGAGATTGATTTGTTAGTTATTTAATAGACTTTAAAGTACCAATTCTGCTCCAATAATAATTTCTTGATTTGCAATTTATTTAGGCAGTGTTGAACCCACTTCAGGCCCTGTTCAATTCGGCAGTCTACAGGCGGCCTAACTTAAAGCTGGTGACTCCCTTCAAGAACAGTCGATCGGAAATGAGTGAGACCACTCCACTGGTTCAGGCAAACATCAACTTAAGTGATCATCTTCTGTCGTAGTCTCTTAGATCTGAGTTCAACTCGATCATATGGAGTTCAACTGGAGAGAAATTATATTGTTGTAACTTTCATCATTACTCTCCATGGGAGTAAGTTTATTGGGATGTAACACTAATATTAGTTCCTTGTCTTGAAGACAAAAGGGTTTACAGGAAAATTATATTTTTCCTCTGTTTGTACAGACATTTATATATTATTGTTAATACCAACGTCATTCTCCACAGTAAATGTGCTATAAAATAGATGATTCATTATCTTAATCAAACAAATTACCGACTTTACATACTGTTTTGTTTTTCATTTTAGTCTGTATATAAGAAAAGAAGAGATTTTGCTGATTAAAATAATATTGAATTTGTTCCAGATAAGTACTTTTTTGAAATGTTCTAGTCATTATTGGTTATAAATTCAGTTACGATTACAACTCTGCTGACAAAACATTTTTTTACTTTTGTCTGATTTTTTTGTAATTCTATTATTTTAAGATTACCTCTGAAACAGTTACAATTGTAAAGTGTTTTATGACTGGAAGAAATGGTGGTATCTTATTTGTACATTAATTAGTTATTAAAAACAGGCTCTACAAGCAGGCTCCTCACACTGTGATAAGAGGATAGATTGAGAAGTAGAAGAAAAAGAGAAATAAATAAATCATTAAATTTATTTTAAGAATTATACGATCCACTTGTTGCTAAGCTCTACTTTCCAGATTGTGAAACACCTGGCAACAATGGAATCATTAACCAGAGAAAAATAACGGGTTATTTAAAAATAATAATAATTAAATAATTAACTTTTATATGTTAAATAATTATGTTGTTAAGGTGGCAAAAGATCTACAAGGTCTGTAATTTAAAAACAAAAATAATTATTACTATATTATATAAGTAGTATAAGTGATAAATAATTCTACATGTAACCAATATATTCTAGCAAGAGTAAAAATATTAAGATTTTTTAGGATTCTACATGAAATAAAAATCACCTCGCATAAGCCAGATATGCTTATGCCTCAAATAGTCCTATATATTCAATTGGTGCTGCAGTTCTGCACCACACCGACCTGCTCAGCTATCGATATACAGCAGATATAGACTTTTTATTTTGTTCCTTATTTATTATTTTACATTTCTACTCTAAATCTGCTCTTTTGTATTCTGACCAAAGACTATCGGTGGAGTAAATGAGCAGCTCATTCTGTGCACAGATCTTTCCCCGCTTTCAAAACATGCTCTAAAGCCATAGAATAGCTTAATAACAATAAACATATGTTGAAAATATTATGTAAATGTCTATTTATTCATTATTATTACTAAATGATATTATGATATCAAATAAATGGTTTATGTAGTTCATTTTCAAATGTGTAGTTGTATTTTAACATCTTATTATATTATATTATTTGAAGTATCATAAGAGGTTCTTGGCTGTGATAAGCAAATCATTCTTCTTGAAATAGAGAAACTTGGTCAATAGATATTACCTTCTCTTATAATAAAAAAAAAATCTGTACAAAAAATAATAGTTTTTACTTATAATAGTAACTTTAACTTTTTAATAAACCACCAGTTACAATTTAATTAATTAATGAGTAAACTAAGTTACTAATTAATAGATCCTAAAATTCCTGATTATAGATAACTTTTTGAAATAATTAATATCTGAAGATCTTTTTATTGTGAAAAAAAACCATTGATATTTCAATATATAACATTTGAATAAGTGGAGGAATGTCTAGATAGGTCATTAAACATACCTAAGCAGTTTTACTTTTTTATATCACAAACTCAGAATTTAACGTTCTTAAATGAAAATTTCATTTGAAAGTTATTAAAATAATAAATCAAACTTCAAATATATTAGGCTACACAAGGGTGCCCATCTCCCCCAAGATCAACGGTGCATGAACCTCTCTGCCTCCTCCCAAGATATTAATTGCTCTCCTCTTTTTAAAGTCAGTGCCAGCAGCTAAAGAAGAATTTTTAAAACCATAGGTCATATACAATAACACTTTCATTGGTTTGATCTATATTTTCTTCTTGTCCACTGATTTGAAACTTTTCATTTCGAAAAATCATAACTCAATCGAAATGTGCACCCCCTCAAAAATTCAAAACCCTGTCAAAATGTGGCCCCCTCAAAACTTTTGATGGCGCAACTTGTGACATAAGACCCTCTTCTGGGCATCCCTGAGGCTACGAGACAAACTCGTGGTTAATGGGCACTTCTATTGCCTGCACCCAGTTCAAATCCTAATTTGGCACATTGAATTATCTATCGATATAAAACGAGTAATATTTTTGAGGCTGGAAATTATTCTTTAACCATGCTTCCTGGATTTAATTAATCATGAAAAAGTGGGTTCATTGTTTAAAAAGTGGTTGAGACAGTGTTTTTGGTAATAATTTTTCTTGATACCATATGGTTAAAAGCCATGACCTCATCCAGTACCTGCTGCCTTGGCTCTTCATGGGCTGTTCAGTGATTGATTTATTTATAATGCTAATATATGTAAATCTAAAGTATTATAAATATAGTTTATGCTGCATGATACTGTTCTGGTTATTGTAAATAAATAAATCAGCAGGTTAATGTTAAGATTTTTGGAAAGTACTGATGATAAAAAAAAACATGTTGGCAATCCTTCGTATGCATGGTACAATATACAAGATAATACATCTCACTTTGTAACAAAATTATGTTTCAGATTTACTTAATATTCAGATTTAGACTCTGATTGGCTAATTTTCCATTTTTCTAAAATTTTTGTATAAGATTATTCTTTAAATTTTTCTAAGGAGCATAAAATAAAATAAAAATTTAAGATAAATTTGATGAATTACCAAGGTAAATTTTGTAACTATAGAATTAGAGTTGTTATTTTCTTCAGTAAATATTTCCATATTACCCATCTAGCTAATTATTATTGTATTCAACTGTATATGATTTTCACTCTTATTGTACAATCAATATTATTTATTTATTTTAATATTTTTTACTTTATTGTTATAGTTTGGAGTACTTGTAAAGATTGGAGTAGTGTTTAGTTAGTTAAGTAACTAGGTAAAAAGAATTATTTGTACATAAGTAAGATTTAGTAAGTTAAAGTATATTACCTTTAAATATAAAGAGTTATATCCAAAGCTGTTCATCATAATTGTAAACAATAATTTCCAAAGCTGTGAACCTTAACTATAAACAATATTTTCCAAAGCTTTTCATCTTGATTGTAAACGATAATTTCTGAAGTTGTTAACCATAATTATAAACAATAATATCCAAATCTGTCTTGTCGTTTTACTCTGAGGTGAAAAAAAAGGAAAACAGGTATACTACTAATGGTTTTAAATCAAATAATTATTTTTAAGAATTTTAACATGGGCATTTTTTTTGTTGTCTAATTTTAGTCATGTAGTTAAGGAAGCATGAGATATACCTACTGATGATAATGCATTCTGAAACAAATTTATTTTTAAAATAGTACTATGTACTTATATAACATTGTATTTTATATGAATGTTCCTATGGTAACATTTACTAGCAACGATAATTTTGTAATTTTTTATTATTATAGATGTAACATATAAAATTTGTAAAATTCATCTGTTTAAAAACACATAAAAGTTTAATGTAAAATTTAACATGGAAAAATGATTATATATGACTATTCTTGTAACTATAAGGAATTTGAGATGATATTTCATGATTTTTTTATTTATTTTCTATTATTTATAATACAATATGATTTTCTATTTATTTTATTCAATTAATAAAAACTGACCGAGAACTGTTATCTAATGATATCAATAATTATATTTTAATATAATATAAATCTTTAAAAATATAAGGTCCTGTTATTACGGTAAGAGAGAAAAGGTTAACAGTGTTTGTTCAATCATTAGATGAAAATTTTTTTTTTTGATTTTTCATTCATTTTTATTGTTTAATCTTTATGTTTTCTTTTCCTTTTTTTTTTTTTTTAATAAATAATCATTATGTATATGGAAACATAAACAATTAAAAAAAAAAAATATATATGTTTGGTAACAATTATCAGCAATATCATTACAAGATATTATTAATGAGATACACTGCACCATGAGAACACAGCACAATTGCATCATAATGTCATTGTTTTTTTTCTTAATAAAAACTACATACAAAAACACAGTTCAATATTTTTTCAACAGTTTTGGCTCAAATTTGAAATGATATACATAATTCTGCTCTTTTTCACTTTATTAATGGTTATTTCTCTTCTTTTTGGGATATACTAGAAAATATATATATTTTTTTACCTAATTAATAAGTAAATTCACTGAGTTGTCCTCAGATCCTGTAATGGTCATTAAAAATACAGGATCCCAGAATAGAGAAAAAATATTTCGTATACTAATAAATTCACAAGAATTCACAACATAAATAAAAAATAAAAGTAAATAATTAAATATAATACATTTTAAAAACAAAAATTATAAAAAAGAAAATGGCGAGAAAAGGGAGAGCTACGAATGCAGTGCGGTTCAGGTATAACCACAGCGCCTTTATCGTCCCTCGTTTTACCTTTTATTTGAAAGCACTTCAAATTTACTTTAAACGAAAATATAATTTATATTGTCAAAAGCATTTAAAGATGACTTTTGAGCGGCAAAACTAAGCTAAGTTCTGTTTTAAGAAAAATCGTAAACTATTCATGATTTTTTTTATCACCATCCAACTGCACTGCATATACCCCACTTTCACAAAAACTTCTTCGTTTAATAATCTTTAAATCCGTATTAATTAAGTTGAGATTTATTAGGGAAAAATTGAGATTGAGCTCAAGTTTTTAAACAAATTATTACTTATATTTTTTATTCTGTCAAGTAAAAGTATTGGATTGGCAAATAAGTCCTTTCGGTTTTCTGTTTATTTTTATGTCACTATGATACACTTCTTATCTGATGAATTAATCCTTAAGGTGGATTGTTTATCCTGTTTGTAAAATGTCAACTACTATA